GTTGAGAAGCTGATTGCGTCGAAAATGATGTTGCCGGGATCTAATCGTCGGATTCACTCTGTTCATCGTCATTCTGGCATGGTAATAGTTTATGCTCAAACTACTGATGCTAGTGTCACTGATTTATTAGCTACTGTTCCATATGATATTTGCATTAATTGATTGGAAATTTTATTTAAATTTTCACATTTGAGGAGGAGATGAGCACTTGTTTTGGCTGACAATGCAACTACTAGTACAACAGCTACTATACTATGTGTGAGCTCTTAAGGGTGACATTAGCTCAATTCTTCTCATTTTGCAGAAGCCTTGGTGAATATAGTTTGATAATAGGTATATGTGGGTTAGTTGGGAGGTTCAAGTAGGATTGCTTGGACTCCGCCTTAATTTGAATGAAACGAAAGGAATTAAACTATTAGGCCTCATTTCTTTTGGACTAGGTCGGCTATATGAATCCTCTACATCCATTTTGCTCAATTTGGGTTCTTTTCACTCCAATACGTAATTATTTATCTTTGAAGAAAAATTGAGGTTCTCTAAAGTTAGATATTCTTCAACTTTCCTACTATATTTGTTTGATGATGGCTCTGGTTTAATTTCGTCAAATGTTTGGCAAAGAAGATCAAAGGTTTCTGTGTGTATGTTCTTTAGCATCAGACTAATACTGAGGAAAGGTTTAGGCCCTTACAATTTTCGTTTTAATGGTGCTTGTTCGTGAAAATTAAGTTAAGATGGTTTGAAGTGATAACTGATAAGAGCTGAGTGATTCTACTGTTTAGTAAGTTGTTAGAGGTATAAACTTACCGAAACATCATCAAATGACCAATTTAAGTTGAAAAGGATCTATGGAACTGGTAAAGTTTTGAACCAATGCTCTGTTGGATGATTCTTGGGCGATGGTTCATTCTATTTTTCTTTATGCACAGGCTGTTGCAGGGCTGGCTGCTGATGGGAGGCAAATTGTTGCCCGTGCAAAGTCTGAAGCAACCAGCTTTGAAAGGTTTGCTTCTTGCACCTTATCTGAAAACATGTGTGTGGGCGCTTACATCTTGATGTGTGAATTTTGTTTCTACATCTGTCTCCTATAGTTTAGCATTCATGATGAAATAATTCTTTTTATCCCGCTCAACATTAGAAAATTGTTGTTGCACATCATCAGATACCACCACCTTAATTTTTGACTCTCCTATTGACTGGGTTTGTCATTTGTAGTGTATATGGTGAACCGATTCCGGTGAAAGAACTTGCAGAACGTGTTGCTAGTTATGTACATTTATGCACACTTTACTGGTGGCTCAGGTTTGTTGGAACATCTGTTGCTGTTTTGATACCTTCATCTTGTTTCTTTAACTTGCTTTCTGTACCTGAACTGTCGGAGTATTACTTGTTGTAGGCCTTTTGGATCTGGGGTAATCCTTGGAGGCTATGATAGAGATGGACCTCAACTCTACATGGTTGAGCCATCTGGTGTTTCCTATGTGAGTTGAATCATTATTTAACTGCTATATTTTGCACCATGTACCTGCTATTATATTTTCTTATAATTTCTGTTTCCTTGCTTTGCACTGACCCTTAATAATTGAACTTATTTTAGTGGTTGATGTGTTCTGTTGTTTGTTGTAGAGGTACTTCGGTGCTGCTATTGGGAAGGGCAGACAGGCTGCTAAAACGTAAGTGTGTAAATCTCTTCTGGACATCCTAAAATTGAGATTTGAAACAGTCGGCGTGGCTTTATGATGAAATTGAATATTTGAATTTGCATTTACTTACAACTATCAAAAAGGATTGCACAAGAAATCCTAGTTAAATTTCAGTCAGCCTTTCCATAGTGCCATGAATGTTATCCTTAGGGTTGTGCAGTCGCCTTTTCTAGATCTGAAGCTCTTTATATCCATGAGAAAGTGACTAAGTTCATTAGTATATACTCCCTTTTCTTCTGAGAGAATGACAATTTTTTGTTACACGAAAAGGTTAAGCTGATTAATAGCTGCTTTAGTTTTAGACACTGATAAATTTATGTTTAGAAATAAACTTACAGATCGAGAAACAACATAGGAAGTTACTACTAACAGGAATGATTGGGCTGGAAACTAGAATTAAAAATTGTCTTCAAAGAAGGTTCTTTGACTTCATTATGATGCATAGTATAAATTTCGATTTCGATGATACATTAATTGTGCTTTCGATGTTCACAAGATGCTGTTTATCCAGAGTATTATGGTGACAAACACTTTCTCTCGTCCAAAAGCGATACTTTTTTTTTTTTTGACAAGAAAATGATTCAAATATCTTTTCTTGCCAAAGTTTGTCAGGGTGTTGTAATTGAAATTTGGGGACATCTTATTTGGACTCCATGAGGTTCTGACAACTAGGGGAATTTCCTGTCGATTTTCTACTATCCTAAGAACTCCATTATCGATGAGAATAACTTGGTCATCATAGGAAGTCACTTACACACCCTTGGCGATCATCTTTATATCATTAAACTGGTCAAGTATGCTTAGGATATATCATCTATTTTCTCTGTTTGGCTTATTAAGCAAGACATGAGAGAGAGTGACAGCTTCATGGTAATTTATATTTCGTGCTCTGTCAAAGTATGTCATGTACAACAAGACTATTTCTGTGAATTGCAAATAGTCAGAAGTAGTTTGAATATGTTTGATTCTTGCAACTTATAACAGCTTCGAAGCCTTCAATTTCCTTTTTCATAAAAGCAAGCCATGTTATTTGTTGTTGCCCTTTTCAACAAAAATAATATGGCTTTGAAAAGAACAAAACACTATACTAGAGGTCAGAATCACTGTCCCCATATGTCTATGCCACGTATAAAATTGTGGTGTTTTTAATAAAAGCATGCTAAATAGTGATTTTTTGCTATTGATTTTTCACTTCAGGTCTGATAGTAATATTATATCTTGGTGATGTTAGAAGGACCAGCTAAATACTTTACTGCCATAGTTAATACACTTGAAGGAGACTAAGCTATTTTGTACTGTTGTACATGTAAGGTTAAAAAGAATAGTGATCAAACTGAGTGTTATTCAATCAAGTTTTGCCTATTTTTGGTTATCTCTGCCACCACATTTTCATTATGCACACTAATGTGATTTTGAAACAAAATCTTGGCAGTGAAATTGAGAAGTTGAAGCTCTCTGAAATGACGTGTCGGCAAGGGGTTATTGAGGTAGCCAAAATGTAAGTAATTGTTCTCAATTCTCATTGAACTTTCAATTCGATTCATGGTAATATTTGTTGTTGACATTTGACACTGATGCAAACACAAGAACTAGTTATGTCATGTGTGTATATGCCTACAAATCAGTTTACAGAACATGTTTCAATTCTCCTCAACCTTCGGTTGTTTCAATATTTTTGGGCAGCCAATCATAATCTCAGTGTTACAATGAGATTGTTTAGTTGCTAGTGAAAATTCAATCTGTCTTTAACATTTGGGAGCACCAATTTAGGTCTTGATGAAGTGGTAACTCTATGCTTATCTGTAGGTTCATCAATTTATAGTTTTGTCCAGATAATTTATAGTAGTTGGTGCTGCATGATTTTATTGTTCAGCTTTTTGACAATAAGTTATATCTGTAACCAGAATTTATGGAGTTCATGATGAGGCAAAGGACAAGGCATTTGAACTGGAAATGAGTTGGGTGTGTGATGAGTCTAACCGGCAGCACCAGAAGGTAATTCAGGATCCTTCTTGGGTACACTTCCAATAGAAACTGGTATTCTATGTCAAATGCTATTATTCTCTCTGCATTTTCTTAGTTTTGCTTGGACCTGCCACACAAGTAAGGAGATATTAGAGCAAATATTATCTTTATTTTAGCTTAGTTATTTTTTTGTAATTTTCCATCTTTATTTTGTCTGCGTGCATGTATATTCATAATGATGAATGAATGTTATTTGATGTTAAACTGAAATAAAAGATCCGGTTAGGAACTCATGTTGATATATTTGATGTTGCCATAGGTTCCCGCTGATCTGTTAGAGGAAGCCAAGGCTGCAGCTAAAGCTGCACTTGAAGAGATGGACGCAGACTAATGACGCAAATACGACTCCGCTCACTCTATTTACTACTTTTATCAACTGAATCAAATAGTCTGTTCTGGCTCTGCCATGTTTGGAATTTGGCACCTGTATGACAAATTTGTTTTTAGTGATGAAAGAGATCTATTGTTTTCACTGTTGACTGTAATCTGTACACGTAATTTTCTTAGATCAAGCGGGATAGAATGCATTCTTATATGGGGAATTCTTGGTATTTAGCAATTTGTATCTTTGACATATGGCTGCTGTTTTTTTCCTCACGTGGATCCTTATCTCGTCATATTGCTATATATTTGCTTCGATTGAGTGAAGAATTTCACTAAAATGGCATGTTGATTGTACATGCCATGAAAGTAAACTCAATCCAAGATTTAGACTGATGGCAAAGAAATGTGTGTATTGATACATTTCCAATACATCTTGTTGAATATTTAACAACTTACCTAGTGAGATTTTGCGAAGGTAGAGTGTATGTAGATCTTACCTCTACCTTGTGTGTAGAGGGTGTGTTTCCAAAATATCCTCAGCTCAAATGCAGCCAATGAGTACAAAGAAGAAGAAAACAATGCAGAAATCATATTAACTAAACAATGTATATAGCATACAAGAAAGGAACGAGAACAACAAAATAATGCAATAATCAAAACATTGCCAACCACATGTGATAAGTGAGAAAAAAAATACATATATGAGACATTAGCTAAAATGAACAACATACCCTAGTTTAAAGGAACTATTTATGTTTTTTTTAATAATTATTTTAATACTTTAAATTGTTCTGGTAAATTTTGCTCATACTTCAATTAATATGAATGATGACACAAAAAGAAATTCACTATAAGCAAGAAATATCAATGCCAATGAACAAAGAATAAAGATTCATTGACTATTTCAACTGCACCATGGAGTCTCATTAAGGTGATGAATGATATGTTCCATTTACAGATATAGAATGCTTTCTTGAACAGTGTCCAAGTCCATATCCATAGGCAAAACAATTACACAGTTCAGGGCCAAAAATTAATTCAATTGGTTACTGGTAGAACTATCTTCCAGTATGTTCAGATAATCTAAGAGGTTGTCCTAAGGGAAATGCAGGGAGGCTTCAGCGCTGAACGAAAACAAATTTCTAACTTGATGTTTCAATTTCCTTTCCATGAATATGTCTCTCTAACCTTCTAAGCCAGATATCATAGTCCATACGATAGGGCGTTCCACAAAGGCTGTCAACATAATCTGCAAATGCTTTCAAGACTGTAGAAATATCTCCAAGCTTTTGGTGGATTAGCCTTCTTGACCAAGAGGTTTCCCTCCATTGCAATGCTCCTTCAACTGAATCAAGATCAGGCATATCACCACCAGATGAAAAGTAGAGCATGTAAACTAGACTCTCAGCATCGGAAGCTGAACATAGTTTCCCTTCTTCAAGGGCATACGTAGAGGAGAAATGGAGATTCATTGCAGGACGATCCCTCTCTTCTAAAAGGGCATGTCCCCAACCAACAAGAACAAAATAAGGCTGCCCCACACCAGGTGTAACAAAAATAACATTTTCAGGCCTGAGGTCACCATGCCGAATTCCAGCTGAGGCAGCTGCTGAAAGGGCAGATAGGCAGTCATGGCAACACCTGATAGCCTCATCTTTACCAAATTGGCCAACTCTCACCATATCAGCAACTGTTATGCCCACTGAGGTAGTCACTAGAATGGGGGTTCCACACCATGGGTAATCACAATTACCACCATTTCGTCTTCTGCACTGGCCAGGGTGAACTATCCGGCCAGATGCACTCAATTGTGGCAGATATTTGCTAGATAACCCATTTTGCTTCATAATTTTTAATATCTTAGTTTGCCTCTGAACTTGATACCATAGCTTCATATCTTCCCATGCTGGTTCCAGCTGAGAAGGATGCGAACTTACATACAGAAATAAAGCCTTACCTGGATCTTCAACAGGAGATGCAATATAATATGTAATCTCTCCGTCAGTCAGGACTTCGTTGATCTGATAACCCTTCTCCCAGTTTGAGTCTTCTATCAGCAAGACAGAACCAACCTCCAGATTCATAGACGTTTCAGATACCAACCTGACAGATTCTTCATGCACTTCTACAATTTCATGTGAAGCACTATGCTGCTCGAGGCGAAATGAACCATTTCCATTCGACCTGCTATCCCACAATTGCCTTTCAATTCTTCTTGCTTGAAGACGAGAACTGTGGTCAGCAGCCAAATCTTCAACCGAGTTCGTTGACATTCCAGCATACTGAGTGATCGAGTGGAAAGTAGCAAAAAGTACCTGTAAAGCACCAATATCTCCCCAATTAGCATTTCCAAATTTGGTCCAGATTCTATCAACGGGGGAGATTGTAATTAAAGCATTATTTTTTATCCATTCAGCAGCACAACCATAAACATCATTCACATCCATTTCCAACTTGGTTATATCTCCTTCAACTTTCATGACACCACCATATTGAGAGTCAACTAAAAGAACAAAAACAGAATTCAAACTGAGAGGAATATTGTATCTGCTGAAGCTTCTTGCAAGCAATACACGTACTGTAAAGAATAAAGCTTCACCTAAAACTGAGAGAGAAGGCTTACAGTCATTCTTTACAGTAGCACGGTTTCCTATATCAGGCCTTAGAATAGCAAGTTGCAAAACATCATCCCACTTCCCTTGTGGATGCTTTGGGTTCTTTAGCATTATAGCTGTAGCACAAAGACCTCCAACTCTCCCTTTAGCAATGGCTTTCTCAGCTTGGTAGAATCTCAAGTTTGAATTGTAGATACTAGAAACATAGAAAGGCAGAGGTTCATCCTGACCCCAAAATGACTCCCATAAACTCTTCACACTTGCATGCAGAAAATCTTCAAGGGCAAGATAAGCAGTTGCTTCCACAGCACCAGAAGCTGAGTTATAGATCGCTCTAGGCATTCGAATCAGCTGCTGAAATGGAACTCCTTCCAAAGCATAATCAAACTTTTGAAGATCTATCAATTCAAAAGGAACATCAAAGGGAGGTTCCTCTCGTACCTCTTCATGCCATGTCTTAAGGTTTTCAATCAGGCTTTCGCTATCTACAAACCTACGGAGAAATTCTTTGCGATCTTGGACTCTCCCACCTGAAGAAATACTCGATTTTTTTGTCCCAGATTCCACGGATTCTCGATCTGGGGATCCACCTGTCAATTTAGTGCAAATAATCAGAAGCTCATGGTTAAGCGTATTTACAGGATATTACTGATAAGAATCTTCTAACAATACTTAAAAAGTGGATGCGTTCAATATAACTTATACTATACACACTCCTTGCCTGTTTCAAGACAATAATAGGCTCAATTTCAATAAGAGACAAAGAAGGTTATTATGGTTATGAATGCAAGAGATGTTATTGAACAGACAAAATTATGAACAATTATCAACTATTCATTCATCCAAGAATAAGTCTAAAGCGAAAACATCACTATGGGACGAGGACATTTGGGAAACACCAACTTTAGAGCAACTTATTAAAGATGAAAAGCACAAAACAATGAGAAGGCTAATGAATTCAATTACATCAACTAAAATTACTTATTTCAGCACCACGTAAATAATAGGGGTATCAAGCTGCTAAGCCATACTATGAAAGTGTGAGAGAGGGTGGTGGAGATGAGGGTGTCTATTTTTGAGGAACCAGTTTGGATTCATGTGGGGGTTATCAACTACAGAAGTCATCCACCTCGTGAGACTCGTGGAGTAGCATAAGGAGAGGAAGAGGGATTTGCATATGGTGTTGATTGACCTAGAGAAGGCTTATGACAAATCCCCAAAGGAGGTTCTATGGAGATGATTGGAGACTATAGGTGTACTTGTGGTGTACACTAGGACGATTGAGGACGTAGGATGGAGCCAAGACTAGGGTCAGGACAGTGGGAGGAGAAAATTTTAATTGGGTCTAGTATAAAAATTCTCTGTAATCACTACACTCCTTTTTCCAGAAGAATAATTTAACAAAGTTTTCCTTTTTCCGAAGCAAAGAAAATTTCAAGAGCTACATACTCTGAGATTAAGATCGAAAACTCAGCTTCAGTCAACGGTCACGCCATAATTTCTCTTTCAGTAAGTGGATAGCAACGACGAAATGAGAAGATGAGGTGCCTCGGGTACCCCCATTTAGAAAGAAGGGTTGAAGGTTTTGGGCCCCTTCTTTCGTCCGTCCACGAGGCTGTAAAAAGAGAGAAAGGGGCGGCTATCTAGCGGGATCGGATCTTGGGACGCCCCGAAAAAGATATGAGGTGCTCGGAAATGATCGAAGTAGTTGAATAGGAGGATCACTATGACTATAGCCATTGGTAAGTTTACCAAAGACGAAAATGATTTATTTGATATTATGGATGACTGGTTACGGAGGGACCGTTTCGTTTTTGTAGGCTGGTCACCACTGTAAAGCTACAAAAGGCACCAATTATTACCCAACAAAAGCTATTTATTGAGGTGGGAGAGCACAAGGCTATATAAGCCCCACATCAACTCCCCATTAAACAGATGAGGGAACTCAAGTCCCATGCATGGCAATAGGATCTTAACAAACCACCATGCTACGCATCCATCTATCATTTCTAGCCCCGAATCAACAATACAATATCAGCATCACCGTCCAAGGCACGCTGAGCATTAAGGGCGATAACCACTCCCCTAAAAGCTAGCTATTAAGGTGGGTAAGCCAAAGGTTATATAAGCCCCACATCAACACCCCATTAAACTGACGTGGGACTCAAGTCTCATACCTTGCTATGAGGTTCAAAAGCTAGTTATTAAGATGGGAAACCCAAGGCTTATAAGCCCTACTTCAGCACCCCATTAAAACCGACATGGGACTCAAGTCTCATACCTTGCCATGAGGTTCAAAAAATCCCAATTCAAAAATTAGCTTTTGTACCTTCCCTACATGGAGTCTACAACAAAAACATACCCAATGAATCCTACAAGTGGAGTTTGGGTAGGGAAGAGTGTACGCACACCTTATCCCTACCTTGCACAGATAGAGAGGCCATTTCCAGAAGAAACTCAGCTCCCTCTCCTCAGGAAGTCTATTCAGTAAAACCCAGAAACCCAAAATCAGAGAACTCACAAAAATTACCACTAAAATTACAACTCACCAACCGTTAATCATCAGAAAAATTCAGAAATATCCCAATTCCAAGATGTAACCTTTATTCCTTCCTAACAAAAAAAACTACATTCAGTCCAAACCCATATCCACAAACTAAAAATACAAGAGATCACCAACCATTAACCATTAAAAAAATCACCAAAAAAAGAATTAAAAAAAAACCAGAGATTGACATTTATTACTTCAACAACATGAAGTCCATTTTCAGTCAAAAAAAACTAAAGCCAAAGTCAAACAGTACACAAAAATTAAAGGGTTTCAACTAACCAGAGAGAGAAGAATTTAGTACCTTCCATTATGGAGAAAAAGAATGAAACTTTAACTGAAATGTTCTTCAGATCATCAGCCTTCAAAAAAATTCATCTATTTTCCAGTTTTCTCTCTGATGATATATATATTTTTTTTTTGGTGAGATACAATAAATAGGAGTATATTTGTTTATTTAAGAAGTTTTTCAATAAATTTTATTTTTACTCCCTTCGCGTCAAAATAAGTGTCACTCACCATAAAAAAAAAGTTTCAAATTCATATCACCTTAAAAGTTATATATTTTTTCCATTTATACCCTTAGGAGTTGTTTGATATGCGGAACAAAATGAAATGTCTCGAGTTTAATTTTGGTGTATTCATTTTATCTCATTTTATGTGTGCTTATTGTGTACCAAACAATTCCTTACACTTTATCTTTTTAATAGTGTTCAATTCTCAAAAAATATTTATTAAATAGGGATAGTTTAGTAAATAAAAAATAATATATATATATATATTTGACTATATTGGTAATTAATGTAACAAATGAATATTTTTTGACCAGATACATAATAAGCGCGAAAGAAATTTATAGTCAATTATGAGTTAATATATGTCTGTTTAGTCAAAAATTGAATCAGATAGTGACAATCCACGTAAAAATATAAGGTCCCCATACAATCGTCATTTCAACGTCATCTAATTTTGAAATGTTAGAAATTTCATTTCATTGCGTCGATAACCACAAATCATTATTCATTATCATTATTTGCTATTGATCAACTAGATTAATTAATAAAAACTATTTTCTCCTTCTCTTTATTAGTTTTACTTGAATATTTAATTTGTTATTTATTCGATTATCAACTACTAATTGAGTTTGATTTAATTCCAACGACTCATTTCCTGAGGTCACGTCCTAATTTTTGTCTCCAGAAGAGGTGCTAGGAGTTGGAGGATGAAACCCCCTTTGCCCTAAGAAATATTTTGTTTCGCCTTGAAGTCGTCAATAAAATTGAGCTAATATATAATCATGACAATACACTGATCATCAGACTCAATTTTTGAGATTCAAGGTGCAACGTGCATCAATTTTTTATCTAGCCGAGCTAGTATAGAATACTCAAATTTAAATCTTGATGCAATCATATTTACCCCATTTCAAAGTTACTGAGCAATATTTTCTAATGATGGTGATAAGTATTCCTCACAAATATTGCTCATAATTTTTATTTCGACTCCTCCTTCTCTTTTTATTATTGCAAAAGCCTTGTTTATAGTACTTATTAATAAAAAAAATCAAATATTTAAATACGCATCTAAATAGTAAAGATGTGTACTAAAATTTAGACATATGAATTTAAAAATTAAAATGTTGTATTAAACTCTAAATACTAAATAATTAAGACAACTTGTTTTACCAAATTCTAAATACATAAAACTTGTCTTTAAATTAAAGTAATATAATTCTATATCAATAAAATATTTTTAAAAAACACATATGACTGTTTATTGTGCTTTGTCGATTGAAAATGATATTATTTATTACAAACTGGTGGTAGTTTGACAACAAAAACTGATAATGTTGATTGATGATAATGTTGATGGTGATATATAATGGTGGTCGGTGGTGCCATGGGGTGATGACTAATTGATTAGTGATAGTGGTTGTAATGATTGTAAATGATATAGTTAATTATGATAGATGACGATATTTAGTAGTGTAAAGTTGATCAAATAACAAAAAATTGTCAATTTTTTTTATAAAATATTAAATAAATATTTAGACAATATTAAGACCTAAGTATAGATCCTAATTATTTATGAACAACTTTCACATATAGCAAACACAAAATCATATTTGTATGTTATAGTTATAGTTTGCATAATTGCGCTCCATAGCAAACGCTATACATATATACAAAAGAAGCAATTGTATAATCTGTTTCGGTATACATATACAAAAGAATCAATTGTATAATCTGTGTTTGTATAAAGCGAGAAAGAGAGAAAAGACAAAAGAAAATTGGGCAGGGGAAGATCATATTTGTATAATCATAAGTGTATAGGACGAAAATATATGCATTTGTATATATATATATATACAATTTTCTCTCACTTTATATAAACACAAACGCAATGTATACATTTGTGTTTGTATAAAGTGAGAGAGGTGAGTGAGATATGAGAGAATGTATATATATAATTTTCTCTTGCTTTATACAAACGCAAACGCATTTTATACATTTCTGTTTGTATAAAAGCGAGAGAGAGGCTTAATAACAACACTTTGTTATGAAGTATAATTAAATCAAACTATGTTTATAACATTTAATTTAAATTAATAGTTTGCTATTATATACAATTTTTTCAAATACCATTTTTTTTAATAAAAATAATACTTATATATAGCCTTTGGGAAAATTCTTAGAAGAAATACAAAGGAACACAAAATCCCCCGAAGCTTCATTCACTCTGATTTTCTCACAAATCCATAACGAAGCAAATCAAAGGGCTCTGTACTTCTTCTACGAAACATGGGTTCAGGTCAGAATTTCAATTTTATATTGAAAAAAATTAATTTGATTGGAGTTTTTTCCGCTATATGCCCAAATTTCTGCAAAGTTTGATCAGTTTTTTTTTATGAAAAAAGTAAAGTTTTGGTGTGTAAATAGAAAAAAGATGAAATTTTGGGACATGGGTTTTGGTTCTTTACGTATATACTGATATTATTTGTATGTGTTAGATGCTGATATGGAGGATTACGGATTTGAGTATTCGGACGAGGACCAGGAGGAGCAGGATGTTGATATTGAGAATCAGTATTACAATTCAAAAGGTAATTTTGAAATTTGTGCAAATTTATCAGCTACAACACCCCATGTTAGTTGGGTTTTCTGGGGTAATTTGATGGTTGATCTGCTATTTTGAAACATTGATCAATGTACTATCGGAAACAACCTCTCTACCCCCACAAAGGTAGGGGTAAGGTGTGCTTACATCCTACCCTACCTAGACCTCACTTGTGGATTACACTGAGTATGTTGTTATTGATGATGATGATGATGATCTATGTATAATTCACAAGCTAATGTTGTTGATTGAGTCACTTGCTGGTTATCCATATCAATAATTTTGGAGGCCACTATTAGTGGCAGTACGAGTATTTTCACTAAGGGTATTAAAAAATACAAAGAAGTAAACACATAAAGAAGTCAAGATAATTCAACATATAGTATATATACATAAAAAGATAATTTTAACCTTATGTATACAATGTAGTTTTTCGCTGCTCTTGATCCCACCTACCTCCGCCCCCGTCAACTAGAGATAATCTTGTGAAAACATGGTACATGTGAATAGATAACTTAAAGTTGAATCAGAGCACACAAGTGTCTCTCCATTAATTGTTGAACTTTGAAGTTGGTAAACTTTTACTTAGATTCAATTAGGTTGTCCTGGACCATGGATAGTATTTACTGTTCTTGTACTGAAAAATCTTTTTCCTCATACTTTGCCTTTATCACCTGTCCTCATCAATGCTTTATCTCCATAGTCATTTAAATAAATGAAGTGTCACAAGGGTTTACCGTTTTCCGACCCCATTGCTACTCAGTTCTTACTTCTCCTTTTTTATTTTTGATAAAGGTAACAATATGGAAGCAGTATTTACACAAAACTAGGCATCACCTTGTAAAACTTAAATAGAGATCCAAAAACTGTAAGATTGGTTCAGTATAATCTACCCAAACTTCTTTATACCAAAATGAAAAATCTGAAATACAATCTATCTTAACTATTTAATGGAATTATACTACTCTATACTTAACACCATTACTTTCCATCTTTCCGAATGAAATTATTTCTACTTCCTAAAATTATTCTCTCCATCGGTGCTCAACTATAGAAGTTGGAAGGTCACTTCCATCAACTTTTTCTTAGTTTCTCTACTTCACAATCTTGCTATATGAAAAACCAAGAAAAACAAGAGAGAACTTCTTATTGAATTGAGTGGTTAATAACATGTACAAGGCCCTTCTTATAAAGGAGTTTAAGCTACATGTAATAATGGAAGTTTTCTAATTCTTGAGATTCCAAATAGTTGCGTTATAATCACTCAGACTTTCCTGCACAATATTCTTAATGGTTCTCTTGACTTGATCATTCCCTTAAACTTTTGACAAGCCTCCTTAATCTCTGGGTTGTGAAGTAACTTGAGTTTGCTTTTTATGAAATTTTAACTTTTAACTCTTTTTATTCAATTAAAGAAGTTGGTCCAACAAAATATTGGATTCTTCTATATTATTTCCTCTTTCTCCTTGCAACTTTCCATTCCCTTGATTTCTCTTGATTCCAGCAGAGGTTTGAAATGAATTTCATCAGCAAATGTTTTTTAGAAGTTGGGTGAAGAAACTGAGTTCTACAGATAACATCATAACAAGGATGAAATTATCATTACTGTACCTGTGATTGGGGCACAGTTGTGTCATGTATGTGCTGGCTAACTCAGTATCCAATTTTGATTATGTAAATTGAAACTTTTGTTCATGTAATACATTATTTTGTCATTTTTAGTTTGACATATATTACAGTGATTGTAGTTTTATTCCTGCTTTCTAAATCTAGAGCTTCTTCTCTATTGCCCTGATTTCCAGGTATGGTTGAGACGGATCCAGAGGGTGCACTTGAGGGATTCACAGAGGTGGTACGAATGGAACCCGAGAAGGCAGAATGGTAATTTACAGCCTATGAGTATGAAGTTCATTCCAATGGTCTTACTAATTTTCTTTTAGAAATCGGTGTAGTTGGTTGGTTTCCCATACATAAACTATGCTACATGCAAAATCTGTTTAATAGAAGGAAAATTTTGTAGGCCTATCTAACCTATTGACTACTTAACATTTGAGCCCCAAGAAAAAATCATAGCTTTTGAACTGAGCTCACTGGCTGGAAATCAAAACTTGTTTAGCTGGGTTGTAATAGTTTCTCTAACGCTTGCTACCCAAGCTATTTATAGTGGGATGCTATATGCCAAAAGAACTATTAGACACAAAACGAAAAGCCTAAGAGACCAAAAAGAAACTGCCTTAGATAATATTCCAACTGAAAGTAACCAAGTAAACAAAGGACTTGAGTGCTGA